GGGGAACAGGCGTCTATGACGTATTCTGGCCAAACCCCATTTAGCGGAGCCAGGAAACTCAATCCTTATCCTCGGGGTTCCTCGAGAAACAACAAAAAACTACTGCAGGTGGCCACGTGGAATGTTCGAACTCTCACTGCGGAGGAGAGGCACCCAGTCTTCTGTCGGGAGCTGGACCAGTACCGCCTGGATCTCTGTGGTATTCAGGAGGTCCAGGAGACCGGCTCTGCCTCCTGCCACCATGAGGGGTTGACAGTCCTCTACTCAGGGCAGGAGACTGCCAAACAACAGGTAGTGGCTCTTCTTCTGAACAAAAGAATGAAGGGGTCGTGGCAGCGTGGCGGTGAGGTGTGGGAAACTATACTGTAAGCCCCAGGCTACTTTGGGCTCGCCTTCCCTTACTTATGTCACCACCGAAGACGAACATCCGTGGAGGGATGCAGGCAAGGCCGATGAGTCAGATGCCTTCCATGACCTCCTGTCACAGGTACTAGCTAAAGTGGCCCCTCGGGATAGAGTCATCTTGTTGGGTGACTTCAATGCCCGAGCTGGCACCTGGTCTGGAGTGATTGTAAAGCATGGGCCAGAGCAGCTCAATAACAACGGTAGGAGGCTGCTCGATTTTTGTGCAGCCCATGGGCTTGTAATTACCAACACGCTGTTCCGGCATCGGCGCATCCACGCAACATCATGGATGCATGCCAGGTCCAAGCAAAAACATCTGCTGGATTACATAGTGACGGAACAGCAGATGCGGGCCCATGTCCTTGACACCAGGACCTATCGTGGAGCTGATCTGCCCAATGACCATCGACTAGTCATCTGTAAGATGCGCCTGCCATTTTTCCACTCCGGTGATGGGTGTACACCCAGGACCCCATTCAAACCCATAGTGGCCTTGACTCAGCTAGCTGATGAAAGTTGCAAGCAATAATTTAATCATCGCTTGCGGCTGGGGTTGGTATCGTCCCCCGCTCCTCCTGATGTCGAGGGGAAATGGGCGAGGTTTAGGACTGTGGCTCATGCAGCTGCAATGGCTGCTTTGGGTTCATGGTCCAGACCTCCCCAGAGACCCTGGCTGACAGAGGAGGTGTTCATTCTGGCTGAGAAAAAGCAACAGGCCCACTCTCATCGTCTACAGCATCCCACGTCAGAGAATAAGGAGGCTTATCGCAGCCTTCGTTCGAGAGCTGTGAGGTGCTGCAAGGATGGGTGGTGGTCGCGGGTTGCTGAGTAGATGGAGTCTGCCACAATGGCCCGCGATCACAAATCACTCTTTAACTCCATCAAAAAGTAACTTGCAGCGCCACACCTATTACCATCATTAGAGGAAGGAACAGTGATCCAATCCCTGACCCCCAGGAACAGGTTTGCAGATTTTCTGAGCATTTCTGTGAGGTCCTGGGGGAGGGGAAATCCCTCATCCGGGAAGACATCGTGGGTCAAAGTGGGGATGACCCTGCTGAGGCTGCGGTGCCTCAAATATTATAAGAAGAATAAGTCACCTGTGAGTGGCTGGCTGAAGTGTCATCTTTTGAGGAAGTACTGAAGGCAATAAAGAGTCTGAGACCAGGAAAGGCACCGGGCAGAGATTATCTCCCAAGCAAAATGCTGAGGGAGGGTGGCGTTTGTGCACAGGCTGCCCTACATGTTATCATAACAACAGCCTGGACCACTGGACGGGTTCCGCAGGATTGGAAGGATGCCCTGGTGGTCCCCCTTTTCAAGAAGGGGGATCGCACAGACTGTAACAACTACAGGGGCATCTCACTCCTCAGTGTGCTGGGAAAGGTCCTGGCAAGAATTATTCAACATCGCCTTGCCAGGCATGCTGAGGAGAGGCTTGCGGAGCCCCAATGCGGTTTCAGGAAAGGGCGGTCCTGCACAGATGCCATATTTTCTGTCCGTTTGCAAGCGCAGAGGTGTGGGAATTCCAACAAGACCTACATCTCTGCTTTATTGACCTGGTCAAGGCCTATGATACCATCAGTAGGCCTGGGCTCTGGGTTGTTCTTCATGCTTTCGGAGTCCCTGACCCTCTGCTCATGCTCATTAAGGACCTTCATGATGGTCAGCGGGCCCAGGTAAAACTACGTGGCCGGGAGTTGGAGCCATTCCCTGTTCACTTTGGGGTGCGACAGAGATGTCCTCTGGCTCCCACATTATTTAACATATATTTTGACCATGTAGTTCGTGAAGCCTTCGATAGCTGTACCAGAGGAATTTCCATCTGGTACACATACAATGGGAGGCTTATCGATGCTCTGGTGCGGTCAAAGGATGGCTTCCTCTTGGTCAACCATGTTATGTATGCCGATGATCTGGTAATTGCTGCTCACTCAGAGGAGAAGTTGGAGGCGCTGCTGCTGAACCTGGAGCTTGCCATTAAGAGGTGTGGCCTTTCCATCAACCCCACCAAAACTAAGCACCTGCCTGGGTATTTTGTACCATCGGACACTCTACCCCCACAACTCCCAATTGGTGATGGGGCAGTTGCGGAGAGAGTGGGGTCATGTAGCCCGCATGCCCAGCCACCGCATACCTAAACAGCTTTTGTTCAGCCGGATAGAGGGAGCTAAACGGGCGCGGCACGGGCTAGAGAAGATATGGAGTGAAGTGGTACAGGAGGATGTGGAGCTGAGTGGACTTGCCGATGACTGGTAGCAGCAGTGTCAAGATCGGCCTCTGTGGAGGAGGCTCGTGAAGGACACTACTGGGCAGTTGGAGGCAGTCGCCCTCCAACAACAACGGAGGGTGGTAGAGCGACGCTAACAACAAAAACGAGCGAAGCGCCGGGTGGCTATAGCACAGCAAGTTGGCTTAAGTGGTGCATCAGCCAGTCATCTCAGTCAGTCGACCCGTGGTACCTGGGTCTGCCCCGTGACCTCCTGCCAGCGGGCGTTTGACACTTCACGTGGCCTCAACGTGCACATATCCTGCAGAAGCGTCGTAGTGATGTCACCACCACTTAGTGGCGAATGGCGGTTTTTATTGTAGTATGGTGAGTTTATGGGTGGGTGAATGGGTGAGTGGGTGAATGGGTTGAGTGGGTGAATGAGCTGTTAAGTGGATCGGTTAGTGAGTGTGTTGTTGTGACCTGCAGTGTGGTGAGTTGGTGGGTGAGTGGGTATGCAAGTGAGAGTTGTCACCTTCAACGCGGTGCGAGGGGGTGGATGAGTGAGTGATTGGGTGGGTTATTGGGTGGCTGGGTGGGTGAGTGGGCGGGCGAGTTAGTGGTTGTGTGATCTATAAGAGTTAATCCGCCTACCCGCAGTATTAACCAGGGGCGGCTGCTTTCCATGGCACCGCGAACCCCCGGGACAAACGACAAACTCGCTGCAGACCCGTTTGATATTTCCTCACCCCCGGATGTGACAAGCAGTGCACCACCCCGTGTGAGTTCCGATCGCATGCACACAACAAGCATCTTAGGACTGCCCGTGCACGGCGGACGCTTATCTGATCTCTCAGAGAGAGAGAGAGGTTGTGCAGGGGGTGGGGGACGACTCAGATGCACCAGGCGGAGCCACAGGTGAGTGGGGAGGCAGTAGCAGCAGCAGCCACGCGGTGAAGGAGCCTGCACGACCAACAGTTGCCCAAGCTCTGCGGTCTCTCTACATTCGAAGGTGTTACCAGCCAATTAATGAGGGTGTGGGAGGGAAAAACACGTTTTTATATTTTACCAGGTAAGGCCCCAATGAACATCTCGAACCGATCACGAGGCACTAAGCGCCGGAGCCGCATCCTCAGCAATGGCAGCAACCAAGGAGACGCGCACCACTGCTGCCGCTGCTGCTGATCCCCCCCCACCCCTCACCCAAGACGTGTGAATGGAGCGACGCCTTGGGACAACTCAAGATTTGCGAATCACGTAGTCGTTATCGCCACCCAATGTGTAGCCTTCAAAATAAAAACTAAACTATTTTTTATTTCATCTTGACTTAAAGCTTTCGTGACTGCAGGAATTCCTATTTGGGTATTTCGGTAAAGCCACGTAGATAGAAAAATAATAAAAAAACATGTATATTTTTTTCTGTTTCAGCAGCTCTCATCTGATGACGATTGCTTGTGTTGTGATCGAAACGTCGAGATATTGTGATTTTTTAAAATTATTTTTCTATCTACGTGGCTTTACCGAAAGACCTAAATAATATTTTTTATTTATTTTTACCAGGTAAGGCCCCACTGGAGCCACGTGCCACTTTTTCAGAAGCGACACATGGCTATCACAAATGATAGCCCAACGAAGTTGGCTTTTCGTCACGTGAAATTTATAGCAAAAGCCAAATACTCAACTCACTTGTCTAAATGTAGAGGGACAAACCGGAGGACCCGGATAAAAATCCACACGGTCACGGGGAGAGGGACACCGCAAACTATAATTCTACATGCGTCAGTGTCCGGATCGAACCCATAAATCCTGTACACCAGGCGAGGTGTGGGAGGGGGCGACACTGTATCCCGTTCTGATTGGGACAGGTGGAGTCTACGCATTGCTGTGCCACTTGCTTTTGAGAAAGTGTTATCGCTCCTCCCCGTTGCTCGTCCACAGCAACGGAATTTGGCAACACTCTTTGTGTGATCCACCAACCGTCGCTTTCTGCCTGGATGACTGGCCGCTTGCAGCGTAGCCACCACTACCTCAATTACAGAGAGAGGGAGATCTATGGATGGCAGTGATTCAGAGGAGGGGTGGCCACGCAGAAGCCACGAGGTGCACGGGATGGAGATACCCTGTTATTTTTGTTATTCTAGAGGTTATTCTTGCTATTATTGTTTTATTGTTGATATTATAATTGGTGTTATTGTTGTTATTCTTATAAATGTTCGTATTGTTATTGCTGTTACTGTTATTGTTAGCATTGTTATTGCTGTTATTATTGTTCTCATTGTTGTTATTGGTATTTATGTTATTGTTGTTTTTGTTGTTCATGTTGCTATTTTTATTGTTATTGGTATTGATATTATTGTTCTTGTATGTTGCTGCCGTGCCAACGCAGGCCCCGAAACTGAGTGGCGGTGCTAGCCAGCGTGCCGAACGCCAGGTGGGCATCATGGTGGTGCTCATGGTGCTCGCGTTCCTCATCTCGTGGACCCCTTACGCAGCCTGCTCCATCGCCGTGGCCGTCACGCCGGGACTCAAGGTGACGGGGGGGGGGGTGATGGCCGTCGAGAGGTGCGAATTGAGCAGGGGTTGGGAGAGAGCAGGTGAGGAGGGTTGGAGGTGAGGAGGAGGTGAAGAGGGTTGGAGGTGAGGAAAGCTGGAGGTGAGGAGGCCTGGAGGTGAGGAGGCCTGGAGGTGAGGAGATGAGGAAGATGTGAGGAAGATTGGAGGTGAGGAGGAGGCGAGGAGGGTTGGAGGTGAGGAGCAGGTGAGGAGGACCATACTCGCCATGCGGACAGAAACAACCGGCACGGATAGACAATGACATGAAAAGACAACGACATTGATAAACAACAACACGGATAGACAACGACATGGATAAACAACAACACGGATAGACAATGACATGGATAAACAACACGGATAGACAACGACATGGATAGACAACGACACAGATATACAATGACACAGATAAACTAAAGTGGCCCCTCGGGATAGAGTCATCCTGTTGGGTGACTTTCATGCCCGAATTGGTAATGATGCTGGCACCTGGTCTGGAGTGATTGGAAGGCATGGGCCAGACCAGCTCAATAACAACGGTAGGAGGCTGCTATATTTTTGTGCAGCCCATGGGCTTGTAATTACCTACACCCTGTTCCAGCATCAGCGCATCCACGCAACATTATGGATGCAGGCAGGTCCAAGCAAGAACATCTGCTGGACTATATAGTGACGGAACAGTGGATGCGGGCCCATGTCCTTGACACCAAGACCTACCGTGGAGCTGATCTGCCCACTGATCATCAGCCCCATCAAAACTAGCCCATACCGTGCCCGTTTAGCCCTTCTATCTGGCCGAACAAAAGTTGTTTAGGCATGCAGTGGCTGGGCATGTGGGCTACCTGACCCAGCCAACGCACCCTTGCCTGCCGGAGGAGCTCACCGATGGGACTTTGTCCAGATCTTTTAAGGATGTGTGAGCTCCTCACACAATCCAGCCTGGTTAAACCAAGGATGGATCGTAGGCAGGCCAGCCTAAATGTTTCTAACTGGCAAAGATGTGCTATTATGGCAGCACACGTTTCGCAAACATAGAGAAGGGAGTGCAGAACTGTGTAGAGTGACAGACCAGGTAGCTTCCTCATAGCGTTTTGCAACCAATGAAAATATCATGCCGCTCGACTGATTCAGAGTGAGACTTCTGTTGTCAAACCAGAGCCCATGAGCACACTGCCCAGGAATGAAACACTCTCCACTCTCTCTACAAACGCCCCACTCCAATTGGGAGTTGAGCGTGGAGTGTCCGATGGTACAAAATACCCAGGCAGGTGCTTAGTTTTGGTGGGGTTGACGGTAAGGCCCCACCTCTTAGTGGCACACTTCAGATTCAGCATCAGAGCCTCCAACTCCTCCTCTGAGTGAGCAGCAATTACCAGATCATCAGCATACGTAACATGGTTGACCAATAGGGAGCCATCCCTTGACCGCACCCGGGCATCGATCAGCCTCCCATTGTATCTGTACCAGATGGAAATTCCTCCGGTACAGCCATTAAAGGCTTCACGAAGTACGTGGTCAAAATGATGTTAAATAATGTGGGAGCCAGAGGACATCCCTGTAGCACCCAAAGGTGTACAGGGAATGGCTCCGACTCCCGGCCACATAGTTTTACCCAGGCCCACTCACCAACATGAAGGTCCTTAATTATAATGAGCAGAGAGTCAGGGACTCTGAAAGCACGATGAACAACCCAGAGCCCAGGCCTACTGATGGTATCATAGGCCTTGACCAGGTCAATAAAGCAGAGATCTCGGTCTTGTTGGATTCCCTACATCTCTGCTGTAGCAGTCGGACAGAAACTATGACATCTGTGCAGGACTAGCCTTTCCTGAAACCACATTGGGGCTCCGCCAGTCTCTCCTCAGCGTGCCTGCAAGGCGATGTTGATTCATCCTTGCCAGGACCTTTCCCGGCACACTGAGGAGTGAGATGCCCCTGTAGTTGTTACAGTCTTTGCGGTACCCCTCTTTGAAGAGGGGGACAACCAGAGCATCCTTTAAAACATGTGGAACCCGTGCAGTGGTCCAGACTGTTATTATGTTGTCATGTAGGGCAGTCTGTGCACAAACGCCACCCTCCCTCAGCATTTCGCCTGGGAAATAATCTTTTCCCAGTGCCTTTCCTGTTCTCAAACTTTGGATCACCTTCAGTACTTCCTCAAAAGATGGCACCTCAGGCATCCACTCACAGGGGGTGACTACTTACAATATTTGAGGCACCGCAACCTCAGCAGGGTCATCTCCACTTTTCTCCATGATGTTTTCCAGGCTGAGGGATTTCCCCTCCCTCAAGACCTCACAGAAATGCTCAGCTAATCTGCAAACCTGTTCCTGGAGGTCGGAGATTGGATCACCGTTCTTTCTCCTAATGATGGTAATAGGTGTGGTCAGTGGGCAGTTCAGCTCCACAGTAGGTCCTGGTCTCAAGGACATGGGCTCTCATCCGCTATTCCATCACAATGTAGTTCAGCAGATGTTCTTGCTTGGACCCGGCATGCATCCATAATGTTGCGTGGATGGGCTGATGCTGGAACAGCGTATTGGTACTTACATGCCCATGGGATGCATAAAAATTTGCAGCCTCCTTCCGTTGGGATTGAGCTGATGTAGCCCATGCCTTCCAATCACTCCAGACCAGGTGCCAGCATCATGACCAACTCGGGCAATAAAGTTACCTAACAGGATGACTCTATCCCAAGGGGCCACTTTAACTAGCACCTGTTACAGGAGGTCATGGAAGGCATCTGACTCATAGTCCTTTCCTGCATCCCTCCACTGATGTTGATCTTTGGTGGGGGCATAGATAATCACGACCACCACTCCTTGCCTCTGGTTGATGAGAAGACGCGCCCAAAGTATCCTGGGGCTTACAGCTTCTCACACCTCACCGCCACGCTCCCACGCTCCCTTCATTTTTTTGTTCAGAAGAAGAACTACTCCCTGTTGTTTGGCAGTCTCTTGCCCTGAGTAGAGGACTGTCCACCCCTCATTGTGGCAGGAGCCAGCGCCAGTCCACCAGACCTCCTGAATACCGCAGAAATCCAGGTTGTTCCGATCCAGCTCACGACAGAGGAGTGGCAGCCTCTCTTCCGCAGTGAGCGTTTGAACATTCCACGTGACCACCCACAGTGGATTTTTGCTGTTTCTGGAGGAACCCAGAGGGTAAGAATTAAATATCCTGCCTCCACCAAATGGGGTTTGGCCAGGAGACGTCATAGACGTCTGTCTCCCTGGGGCCTCCTGCACAAGCTTGGTTTGATATTTTTTGCCATCGTTTAGTAGTAATTAATTTGTAGGTGGAGGGGTTACTAGCCCCTCGCACCCATTCAGAGCCCCCATTTGGCCGCGGTGGTGGCTGCAAATACCATTAGGGGAATGGCCAATTGAAATTGGTCCTCCCCCCATGGCACTGATCACCACAGCGTTACTGTCCTGCACAAAAGAGGAGGTGGGGGGTTGTTTTGCCGGACACAGTGACACACCCAGTGACACATAGTGACACACAGTGACACACAGACACACTGTGACACAAACAGTGACACACAGAGTGACACACACGTGCCTGTGTCATTCGCAGCTGAGCCCGCTCCTCGCCACGGTGCCACTGTATGCAGCCAAGTCGAGCACCGCCTACAACCCGGTGATCTACATCATCCTGAACCGCAACGTGGGTACCCTCACCACTCACTCATCACTCACTCACCACCCACTCACCACCCACTCACCACTCACAACCTGGTGATCTACATTATCCTGAACCGTAACGTGGGTACCCTCAACATTCACTCACCACCCACTTACCACCCACTCACCACTCACTCACCACCCACTCACCACTCAGTCACCGCCTGCAACCCGGTGATGTACATCATCCCGAACCGTAACGTGGGTACCCTCACCACTCACTCACTCACCACCCACTCACCACCCACTCACCACTCACTCACCACTCTCAACCCAGTGATCTACATTATCCTGAACCACAATGTGGGTACCCTCAACATTCACTCACCACCCACTTACCACCCACTCACCACTCACCACCCACTCACCACTCAGTCACCGCCTACAACCCGGTGATGTACATCATCCCGAACTGTAACGTGGGTACCCTAACCACTCACTCACCACCCACTCACCACTCACAAACCACTCACAACCCACTCACCACTCACAAACCACTCACAACCCGGTGATCTACATTATCCTGAACCAAAACGTGGGTACCCTCACCACTCACCACCCACTTACCACCCACTCACCACTCACTCACCACTCACAACCCGGTGATCTACATTATCCTGAACCAAAACGTGGGTACCCTTACCACTCAATCACCACCCACTCACCACCCACTCACCAATCACTCACGTAGGGAGTGAAATAAGTTCAACATACCTACACACGCTCGCCACTCACACCGCATGTTTGTGCGTCTACGTATTTGTCTCTCTGCGCGTCGTCGTCCGTCGATGCGGCCCTCTGGCCGCATCAATTCTCTCCTCTGAGCCTAGAGGCTTTCATCGGCGCCGAGCAGTAGGAGGGGGGGAGACAGGGGGAGAGCAGCGAGAGGGCCAGGAGAGGGGGTAATATACCGAGTGAGGAGAGAGAGTAACCACAGGGAGATTGAAGGGTTGGCGAGAGCAAAAGCGAGAGAAGTTGAAGGAAGAAAGAGAGAGCGCGTGTTGGTGATGGTGCTGGTGGTGTGGAATGAACCCAGTGACCTGGGTTCAATTCCCAGTCAACATTGGTGAGGATTATCTGAACTGGTCTTGGACCCCTCTCCTAGGTCGTCTCAACCTCAAATGCGTACCTGGTGCGATGTGTAAATATCGCCACGAGGGAGGAAAAGGTGACCAGGCATGCGTGGTGCTGGCCACCTACCCCTTCATGTGCCGTGCCACCCTTTATCGGTGCTGCTACTCGCTAACAGCACTTGCCCCTGCTTCGTGTTATGGCTACACAGGGGATATTTGCCTTTTTTTGTGGCGGTGGTAGTGGTTTTCCCCTAATTGTGTGAAAATTCTGCTGAGTCGTGGCCACCCGGAAAATCAGCCATTTGGCTTTTTTCACAAGACACATCAATAACCAACAACCGCCGTTCGCCAGGACGTGATGGTGATGTCACCGCGACATCTGTGTCAGGCCAGGTGCACTTTGAGGCCATGTGAAGTGTCAAAGGCTCGCTGACAGGAGGTCTCAGGACAGACCTAGTGCCATGGGTTGACTGACAGGCAACTTCACCAACTGTGACCCAATTGTGCAACTTGCTGCATTTTAGCCACCCAGCGCTCCGCTCGTTGTTGTGAGCATCACTCCTCAGCCCTACGTTGTTGTGGGCGACTGCCTCCAACTGCCCAGTAGCAGCATCTTTCACGAGCTTCCTCCATAGAGGCTGATCTTGACACCTCTGATACCAGTCTTCGTCAAGTCCACTCCTCTAAACATCCTTCCAGCCCGTGTCGTGCACGTTTAGCTCCCTCTATCCGGTCAAACAGAAGCTGCTTGGGCATGCGGTGGCTGGACATGCAGGCTACATGACTCAGGTGATGCAGCCTTGCCTGCCGGAGGAGCTCACTGATGGAGATGTGTCCAGATATTTCAAGGATGTGCAAGCTCCTCACACAATCCAGGTTTGTTAAACCCAGAATGGATTGTAGGCAGGCCAGCTTGAATCTTTCTAACTGGCGCAGATTAATGGAGGGCATAACTGTGGCCATGAAGACCCGAAGCTCGTGTGGAGTGGCAGACTAGGTAGCTTCCACATGACAGCCAATTAAAATATAATGCTGCCCGACGGATTCAGAGTGAAATCTCTGCTGTCAAACCAGAGCTGGTCATAAGCACACGACCCACTTATGGAAAACTCTCCACTCTATCCACAAACTGCTCCATCACCAATGGGTAGTTGAGGGAGTGGAGTGTTTGATGAAACAAAATCACCAGGCAAGTGCTTAGTTTTGGTAGGGCTGATAGTAAGACCCCACCTCTTAGTGCCACGCTAGATGTTCAGCAGCAGCGCCTCCAACTCCTCCTTTGCTGTAGCAGATGAACAAAAAATGTGGCATGCATATAGACCGCCCCCATTTGAAACCACATTAGAGCTCCACAAGTCTCTCCTCAGCATTATTGGCAAGGCGTTGTTGAATGATCCCTGCCAGGACCTTTCCCGGCATACTGAAGAGGGAGATATCCCTGCAGTTGTTAAAGTCTGTGCTGTCCCCCTTCTTAAAGAGGGGGGCCACCAGGGCATTCTTTAAATCCTTCGGAATCCATCCTAAGTTCCAGCCAGTTGCCATGATGCCATGTAGGGTAGTCTGCACACAGATGCAATCCTCCCTCAGCATTTCGCTTGGGGCATCATCTCTGCCAGGTGCTTTCCTGATCTCAGACTCCGGATCGCCTCTCGTACTTCCTCCACAGATGGCACTTCAGCGAGCCATTCAGAAGGGGTGGCTACTTCTTCCAATATTTGAGGCACAGCAGCCCGAGCAGGGTCATCCTCACCTTGCCCCATGATGTTGTCTGGGATGCAAGTAACTTATTTTGATGGAATTAAAGAGTGATTTGTGATTGCGGGAAACTGAGGCAGATTCTGTCTCCTCGAGCAACCCACGGCCACCACTCATCCTTGCAGCACCACATGGCTCTCCGAATCTCTGGGCAAAGGCTGCAGTAAGCCTCCTCATTCTCCGATGTTCATAGTTCATAGTTCATTTATTTGGTATAGCCCTGTGAGCCATTCGGCTCTTGAATCGGGTGCAACCGTAACAAACAAAAAACATGAACAAGAAAACATGTTAAAGTGATTATGTGACTGTGCAAACAGAAAATACAGGAAAAAAATATCAAAATATTCCTGAAATAGCACCGTACACCAACGCTGTGTGCAAAAATCCCAGTGGGATGCAAGTCAAATAACAACAACAACCACAAGACGACTAAGATTAAGGCCATCAGTCTAACTCCGTACTACAATAAACAAAAACATGGCCAAAACAAAAAAATGTTCGAAATCACCAAAATAAAAGCCATAAATCCAATGTAACAGTGATCATAGGGACTGTGACCGAATTTTTAACAATAAACTACATAAATAAATTATAGCACCAAAATCTAGAGCCATATTTTAGGCCACTGAATAGCAGTGGCATCTAGGGTTGTACAACTCCTCTAGAGCAGTTTTGAGTGAAGATCTCATAGGTAGTGATTCAAGTTGCAGTTTATTGGCAATAGCATTCCAGACCCTGGGGGCATCAATAGCAAAGGCCCTTCCTCCAGTTTTTGTATGGCAATAGGGAATGTGAAGCTGGTAAATGAGCGAAGACCTGAGGTCAAATTTGTTCTTTAAAACAGAGAGGAGATCCAGTAGGTAGTCTGCGGAATTTTTTGTAAGTACATCGTGAATAAATAAGATCTGGTGTACAAGCCGTCGAACATTAAGAGATGTTAAGTTTGACCCAATGTAGAGATCACAGTGGTGAGTCCTATATGGGCAGTTCAATGCAAATCATAAGGCCGAGTGATAGAAGGAATAAAGCTTCTTCAGTACAGTACTTGGGGCTGATTTATACACGATGTCACAGTAGTCAAGTAGAGGCAGTATGGTAGCTTTTATCAATTCCAAACGGAACATTGGGGGGAAGCAGTGCTTGTGTCGATACAGAAAACCAATTTTTATTTTTGTCTTTTTACCAATATAATCAATGTGATCTTCAAAACTAAGTTTTGAATCCAGGATGACCCCAAGATACTTATAGATCTTGACTTGCTCTATTTGATAATTATTCAAGGAATGTAATTGGGGAAAAATAACTTCCTGCTTTAGTCCCGGAGAGAAGCATAGCACCTTGGTTTTGGAGGTATTCAGGACTAGCTGATTTTGTAGTTTGTTGAAATCACCCTGGAGCTTAGCAATCACGTCATCCAGAGAGCGGCCAGCAGTAATCAGTATCGTGTCATCTGCAAAAAGATTTACCCTGGAATGATCCAGTTCAGTGCCCAAGTCATTGACATAAAGAGAGAACAAGAGGGGGCCGAGGATGGAACCCTGTGGAACCCCTTTTGTTATCTTAACACTGTTTGACCTCCAACCATCTGTGAATACAGTTTGGGTGCGAGAAAAGAGGTAATTTTTTAACCATTGTACTGTGTTCTCGGAAAAACCGAGGCAACTTAGTTTACTAAAAGCAGGGTGTTGTGGTCAACTGTATCAAAAGCTTTAGACAGGTCAAGAAAAAGACAGGCACAGTACTGCTTATTATCAAGGCTATTGTAAATTTGATTCAAAAAGTCTAATGCAGCAGATGTGGTGCTGTATTTTTTCCGGAACACAGATTGTTTTAGATGTAGTAGATTGTTGGTGGACAGGAAACTGCTAATTTGGTAGTTCAATCATTTTTCAAAAATTTTCATCAATGGGGACAAAATTGAGATAGGTCGGTAGTTATTGGGATCATCTTTAGAGCCCCCTTTGTTAAGTGACGGACATAGGAATGTTTCCATTCTAGAGGAACTGATGCTTCTTTGATGGACAGGTTGAAAATATGGGCTATAGGTTTGTATATTAGGTGACCAACAGTTAGTAGAGCAAAGACGGGAAAACTATCTGCTCCGGTAGAGGAGGACCCTTTGAGGTAGGACAGTTATTTCAGAACATTACTTTCGTGGATTGGTTGGAAACTAAATTCGTTTAATGTTTGGACAGGGGTGTAGGAATTTTGCAGGAGCAGGGGTGACTCCCAATACATTATCAAAAAGATTACCAGCTGCAGAAAAATGAAGGTTAAAATTGTCAACTATTTTTTTGGGATCTGAAAAATATTCCCCATTTCGGTGAAGCTCAACGGGCAGATTTTCTGTTTTGGATGCCTTTTCGATAGATTTCACTGTTTTCCAAAAAATCCTGGCATTTCCATGTGATTCCAGGAGAGTGGAGGAAAAATAGGCATTTTTTGCATGCCGTATTTTTTTTACGCATCTATTCCTTAAAATCCTGTATTCTAGCCAGTCATTTACCAAATTACTTTTCTGAGCGCATGCCAAGCCTTGTCCCTAGTTTTCATGAGCTTTGTAATCAAAGGATCATACCATGGTGAGCGGTTGCCTTTAGTTTTAAATCTAACCAACGGAGCATGTTTGTTAAGAATTTGGAGAAACGTGTACCTGAAAGTCTCCCAAGCCGTAGTCAGGTTTGGGATATCACAGACCTTATCAATATCCGATTGAAGCACATCATTTGTAAATGCCTGAGTGCTGAAGTGCCTCAAAGAGTGCTTCTCAACAATGTTAGGGGGGGCTTTGGGTTTGGCTGATGATCTCACACCAAAAATGAAGGAGTGATCACTAAGGTTATTACCCAGAACACCAGTCAGTGCGAAATTGTGAGGGGCATTTGTCAATAGGACGTCAAGCAGAGTTGACTGTCCCGGATTTTTTAGGTTGGGTCTTGTGGGGACATTTATTAATTGAAACAAGTTAAATTCATCTGTAAAATTTGTGGCCACAGCCGGCGGGTTTAGCCAATTACAATTTAGATCATCCACGTTGGATATTGTAGACGTCGGGTTTGGGCCAGTTGTTTTCTCTCAACCAGCTGGAACACATCCTCCTTCATCCAGGGCCTCTGGTGAGTTCTGGACTGCATATCCAATGCAGCCATTGCAGCTGCATGAGCCACGGTCCTAAACCTCACCAATTTCCCCTCAGCATCAGGAGGAGGAGGGTGGGGGGAGGGTGCGATGCCAACCCCAGCTGCAAGCCGTGTTGAAATTCTTGCTTGCAACTGTCCTCAGCTGGCTGAGACCAGGCCACTGTGGGTTTTAATGGGGTTTGAGATGGACACCCACTGTAAAAATGTCAGGCGCATCTTACAAATGACAAGCCAATGGTCAGTTAGCAGATCAGCTCCACATTAGTTCCTGGTTTCAAGGAGATGGGCGCACATCTGCTGGTCCATCATTATATAGTCTAGCAGATATTCTTTCTTGGACCCGGCGAGCATCCATGGTGTAGTGTGGATGTGCCGATGGTGATACAGCATGTTGGTAATTTCAAGCCCATGGTCTGCACGAAAGTCTACTAGCCTCCTACCGTTGTTGTTGAGCTAATCTCGCCTATGTCTTCCAATCACTCCAGACCAGGTGCCAGCATCATGACCAACTCGGGCATTAAAGTTATCCAACAAGATGATTCTAACCCGAGGAGCCACTTTAAATTGCACCTGGGACAGGAGGTTATAAAGGCGTCTTATTGGCCTTGTCTGCATCCCTCCACTGATGTTCATCTTCGGTGGGGGTGGGGAGGCGAGCCCACACGACGTATAACTCACTCTCTCACCCACTTATCCACTCATTCACCAAATAACTCGTTTACTCACCTATCCATTCAACCACTCACCCACTCACTCACCCACTCACTCACGAGCTCAGTCAAAGACAAATATCCCCCATATAGCCTTAACAGTCAGTTGGGGCAAGTGCTTTTAGCGAATAGCACCTATGAAGGTTGGCACAGCACACAAAGGGCTGGGTTGTCAGCACCATGCTGTTGGCGATTTTTACACTCATTGGAGGCTAAATCGACCTAAGGGAGGCTCAAGGCCGGTCAGATATAAGTCACTGGTGTTGGCCGTGAGCAGGAATCAAACTCGTGTCACAAGGGTTATTTGTGCAGTGCGCTAACCACTGCACTTACTCACTCACCCACCCATTCACTTACCCACTTTCTCACGCACTTTCTCACTCAGTCTACGTGTCACTCACTCACCCATTTGCGCACTCATTCATCCACTCACTCACCCACCTAACCACCGACTCATTCACTCACCCACCCACTCACTCACCCACTCGCTCGAATGATGTGTGTACCTCTGAAATGGGTTTCCTGGGTGTAATCATCATCTCTGCAGGTGTAAGAGGCACTCGCTTACACCTCAACTCGCACCTCAATTCAAAGGGCACCCCCAGTGGCGAAGTGTAGCCAACATCGGGCACTGTGAAAACAAAGGCGGCCAGGCCTGAGGGGTCTTGGCCCACACCGGGCTTTTATAGGTGCTGCTGCTCGCGAATGGCACTTGTCCCAACAACCGCGCTTGCTACACACGGGGGACCTTTGTCTTTGTGTGTCCGCAGTTCCGCTCGATCCTGCGCCAGATGATATGTGGGAAAGCGGTGGGGGAGCAGCGCCCTGAATCCGAGGCCGTGACGAGAGTGGAGACGCTGAGGGCCGTGGAGGGGGCGGGCAACCAGGGAGGGAGCACCGACGAGGGGGCCCCCCACACCACATCCAGCGTCTAGACCCCCCCCCCATTATCATCTCTACCATACAGGACCCCGATTAACGCCTATATCATAGAAACCACCCATTATCACCTCTATAATATAAGCCCCCCATTACCACCTCAATAATAGAGACCCCCCCATTAACACCTCTATCATACATGCCCCCTATTATATTATCACCTCTATAATACAAGCCCCCCATTAACACCTCAATAATAGAGGCCCTCCATTAACACCTCTACCATACAGGCCCCCCATTAACATCTTAATGATACAGTCCCCCATTCAACCCTCTACCATACAGGCCCCCCATTAGCACATCTATAATACAGGCCCTCCATTAAGACCTCAATAATAGAGACCCCCATTCACTCCTCTACTATACAGTACCCCCATTAAGACCTCTACCGTACAGGACCCACATTAACACCTCTACTATACAAGCCCCCCATTAACCGCTCTACCGTACAGGCCCCCCATTATCACCTGTATCATAGAGACCCCCCATTAACACCTCTATCATACAGGCTCCCTGTTATCACCTGCATAATTCAGGCCCCCCATTAACACCTCAATAATAGAGGCCCCCCATTAACATCTCTATCATATAGGCCCCCATTAACACCTCTACCATAGAGGCCCCCCATTAACACCTCTACCATACAGCCCCCCCATTAACACCTCTATAATATAGACCCCCCATTAACACCTCTATCATGCAGGCCCCCATTAACCCCTCTATCATACAGGCCCCCCATTAACACCTCTATCATACAGGCTCCCTGTTATCACCTGCATAATTCAGGCCCCCCATTAATACCTCAATAATAGAGGCCCCCCATTAACATCTCTATCATATAGGCCCCCATTAACACCCCTACCACACAGACCCCCCATTAACACCTCTACCATACCGCCCCCCCATTAACACCTCTATAATATAGACCCCCCATTAACACCTCTACCATACAGGCCCACATTAACCCCTCTATCATACAGGCCCCCCATTAACACCTCTATAATACAGGCCCCCCATTAAAACCTCAATAATAGAGCCCCCCCGTTAACCCCTCTACCATACAGCCCCCCATTAATACCTCTATAATACAGGCCCCCCATTAACACGTCAATAATAGAGGCCCCCCTTTATCCCTCTACCATACAGGCCCCCCATTAACACCTCTGTCATGCAGGCCCCCCATTTACACTTCTACCATAAGGCCCCCCCATTAACATCTCTACTATACAGCCTCCCAATTCAACCATCTACCATACAGGCCCCCCATTATCAACGCTATCAATGAGGCCCCCCATTATCACTTTTATTGTAGAGGCCCCTCATTCAACCCTATACCATACAGGCCTCCCATTATCACCTCTATAATACAGGCCCCCCCATTAACATCTCAATAATAGAGGCCCCCATTCACTCCTTTACTATACAGGCCCCCCATTAGCACGTCAATAATGAAGGCCCCCCATTAACACGTCTGTCATACAGGCCACCCATTTACACCTCTATCATAGAGGCCCCCCATTATCACCTTTATCGTAGAGGCCCCCCATTCAACCCTATACCATACAGTCCCCCCATTAAAACCTCTGTCATACAGGCCCGCCATTTACACCTCTACCATACAGGCCCCCCATTAACCCTTCTATCATACAGGCCCCCATTATCACCTGTATCATAAAGGCCCCCCATTAACACCTCTACCATACAGGCCCCCCCATTAACCCCTCTACCATACAGGCCCCCCATTAACACCTCGACCATACAGGCCCCCCATTAGCACCTCAATAATAGAGGCCCCCCATTAACACCTCTTTCATACAGGCCCCCCATTAATACCTCGATCATACAGTCCCCCCATTAACACCTCGACCATACAGTCCCCCCATTAACACCTCTACCATACAAGCCCCCCATTCACACCTCTATCGTACAGGGCCCCCTTTAACACATCTACCATTGAGGCCCCCCATTAACCCCTTTACCATACAGGCCCCCCATTAACCCCCTCTACCATACAGGCCCCCCCATCAACAGCTCTACCATACATGTCCCCCATTAACACCTCTACCATATAGGCCCCTCATCCCCGATTATCAACTCTACCATATTGCCCCCCCCCCCCCATTATCACCTCTACCATACAGGACCACCCAAGCTATGTGATATTTCCTAAGGGTTTCATTGACCCCTGTGTCTGAGATATCTGCCCCCCCCCCCTCCACCACGTGTTGATCACGAGTTGTTAAGAAACGAAGTTTTGTTCTGGCTGCTTTTCCCACGTGCCTGAATCATTCTCTCTTTTAATTATCGTTTGAATCATTCCCTCTCTCTCTGATTCTCATTATCTCTCACTCGCAGAATCATTCTCTGAATCAATCTCTCTGAATCATTATTTGTTTGGATAATTACTTCTCTGCATCATTATGTCTGTGTTTGTGCGTGTGAATTAAAACTATGTACGTTACGAGTTCGGCATTATAAGTATTACATTATAATATTATCACGATTCAGAATTTACTTATTGATTAGTTCACTGAGTAATGATCTTGCCACAGCCAATAAAAAATAATAGTGACGCTGGTTAGGGTTATGGAGCAACTCTCAAGGCCAGATTTAGCCACACTTACCTACTCTCTCACTCACCGGCTCACTCACTCGCTCACCTGCTCACCCATTCACTCACCCACTCACTCACCCACTTGGTCACTCACCCACTCACACGCCCGCTCACCCGCTCGCTCACCCGCTCGCTCACCCACTCTCTCACTCACCCGCTCACTCACTCATCCACTTACTCACTCACTCGCGCACCTGCTCACCCATTCACTCACCCACTTACTCACTCACTCACTCGCTCGCTCACCCACTCACTCGCTCGTTCAGTCAAACACTCACTCGCTCATCCACTCACTGCGGGTGAGTTATAGAGTGATTATCACACCTGAATATAGCGGGATTCACTCATCTCCCGGATCATCTCACTCTACTCCTCTCCCCGCACTCTCGTGCCTCTCCCCTCTCATCTCACTCCTCTCCACGCACTTTCCTACCTCTACCCTTTAATCTCACTCGACTTCTCTCTCCAGCATGCAGTGTTTTCTATTGAAGCCACCGGGTAAGCATAGAACAGTGGGAGGTCGCTCCTTCTCCTCTGCTGTCCCCACAGTCTTGAACTCCCTTCCCCTCTTGCGACCCGTGCTGTCGACTCCCTGGCCCTGTCCATGTCCAGCCTCAAGCCTTCTCTGTCTCTGCCTCTTTCTCTCTGTAAAATAACCAATTCCCCCTGTTTCTGTGCAGCTTCTGTTCATGTGATCACATATATACCACATAAATAGAACTACGTTGTATAGTATAGACTAACATAGAGATGCATATATTCACTCGGAGACAAATATAAAGAGACCCATAGACTCACACATAGACCCACACACTCAAGAGACCCATCGACTCAGAGTCCCATAGACTCACACAGAGACGCATATACTCAGAGACCAATAGACTTACACAGAGACCCACACATTCAGAGACCCATAGACTCAGAGACCTATAGAGTCACAGAGACCCATACACTCAGAAACCCATCGACTCACACGGAGACTCGTGGCGTGTTTTCATAGTGAGGGTTGGTCTCCGATGTATCCCAGGCTTCCCATCTCACGCCACTGCTGTTCAATTGCTTGAAGCAGGAATAAACAGAGGAGGTTGAGCGTTCATAATTTGGGGAGCGGTGGCGCAGTGGATAGCACGCGACGCTACGAACCCCAACGAACGGAGTTCGATTACCGGGCACGGTCGACATTCATTGCGAGAGCGATCGCCACACCTCAACTCGGCGATCTCTCCTAACCCTAAGTCTACTCGACCTCAAATGAGCGCCCGATGCGGCGCGTAAAAAAATCAGCACTGAGAAGACGAAGGCGGCCGAGAGCGTATAGTGCCGTCCTTAAAAGGTGCTCGCTGACAGCTCTCACAGCCAACAGTCAAAAATATTAAACAGGGAGAGTTCGTCACGGTGTGTGTGTGTCTGTGTGTGTGTCACCACTTTGTTGCAAATTTCTGAAGGATTGTCATAAAACTCTTTTAATTTCCCTTTCATTTATCCGGTGGTGGAGTAAAGTGTGGGTGTTCTCCCGCCTCTTTTTTCCGAGACATCTGGTCAGAGTGGATCAGGAGACAAAAAACACAACTCAAGGCCGCTTTGTTGACGACATTCAGCCTTAATCACTATGCGTCTGTGTGTGAGTGAGCGAGTGCATGTGGGGAGCGGTGGTGTGGAGGTTAGCACGCTGCGTTCCATAACCCGCTTCGCAAGTTCGATTCCTTCTCACGGCCAACACCAGCGACGATTATCTGAACCGGTCCCTTTCCTTGGCCTCCTCTTAGGTCGACTTAGCTTCAAATGAGTACCTAGTGCGGTGTGTAAACATCGAGCACTGGGGAAACAAAGGCTGCCTGGCGTTGGTTCTGGCCACACCACTCTTCTCAATGGTGAGCCATGCCTGCCTTCAATAGGTGCTGCTCGCTAACAGCCCTTGCCCGAACAGTTTGCGTGTGCTACACGGAGGATCTGTCTTTGTGATACATGTCTTGAGCAAATGTTGTATATATCTGCGAACCTTGATAACCTAACTTCAAGTCTAGGATATGGCCAATAACAGCTTCCAATTGCAACATATACAGGTGGCCCATGACTCTCCTAGGTCGACTCAACGAGGTGTTGTCAACATGCCAATAATGTTATGATTGGGGAGACAAAGGCGGCCGGGTGTGTGTTCTATGTCACAATATACACCATTCCATAGCAGCGTGCAGTGCCAAACTCAATAGCTGCTCCGCTAACAGCACTTACTCCAACCGTCTCCATTGCGATAAGGGGGTGTAACAATGCGAATAAATTGGCCATAATATAAAACATAATTATTAAAGATGAAAATAATATAATCGTTGTGTTCCTCTACATATACCGCGTCTCCTCTCTACAATTCCAATGCCCTACTGCAGTCTAGCCTAGGGGACCCCCGGTGGCAGCTGTCCCTGTGCGGCACATTTATTTGCATAGATACTCATAAAGCAGCGGGTCGGCAATACGTGGCTCGAGAGCCGCATGCTACTCTTAACTTATTTATGGCCCAGCACTGTCTCGTATTGAGTTTTTTCTTTACTCTTGCCATAGATCTTCACAGAGACCCATAGACCCAAAGACCAACACAGAGATCTATAGACCCACACAGAGACCCTTAGACCCACAAAGAGAGCCATAGACCCTCACAGAGACCCATAGACCCATACAGAGACCCATAGGCTCACACAGATACCCACAGACTCGCACAGAGACCCATAAACCCATACAGAGAATTATAGACTCACACAGAGACCCATAGACTCACACAGACCCATAGGCTCACACAGATACCAGACTCACACAGAGATCTATAAACTTACAGATAACCTGACTCACAAAGACACACATAGAGACCTATAGACTCACAAGGAGACCCGTAGATTTATAGAAACCCTTACTCATGAAGATACACATAGAGACCTATAGACTCGCACGGAGACCCATAGACCCACAGAGAGATACATAGATTCACACAGAAAGCAACAAAGTCACACAGAGACACATATACTCACACAGATACACATAGACCCACACAGAGATCAACATAGACTCACACAGAGACCCAGAGACTCACAGAGATATCCATTAGGCTCACACAGAGACCCATAGACTCACATAGTAACCTACAGTCCGACACAGATGCACATTGGCCCACACATATACCCATATAACCACACAGAGACCCATAGACCCACACAGAGACCCATAGACGCACACAGATACCCTTATACCCACACAGAGACCTGCATACCTACACAGAGACCCATAGACTCAAAACAGATGCCCATAAGCCCACACAGAGACCCATTGCCCCACACGGATGCCAATAGGCTCACACAGAAACACATAGACTCACACAGACCCATAGCCTCACACAGACCCATAGCCAACCACTCAGACATATACCTATAGACTTACAAATACCCTGACTCACAAATACACACATAGAGACCTATAAACTCACACGGAGACCCGTAGATTTACAGATACCCTGACTCAAAAAGACACACATTGAGACCCATAAACTCACACAGACACACTTAGACTCACACAGAAACCCATAGTCCCATACAGAGACCCATAAACTCACACAGAGACCCATAAACTCACACATATACCTATGAACACGGATTCCCATAAACTCACACCGAGACACATAGACTTACACAGGGACCCATACAATGACACAGACCCATAGCCTCACACAGAGACCCATAGACTCACACATAGACCTATAGACTTACAGATAATCTGACTCACAAAGACACATATAGAGACCTATAGACTCACACGGAGACCTGTACACACACACACATACCACACAAAGACCTATTAACTCAAATCAAGACCCATATACTAACACAGAGGCCAATCGGTTTAAATACCTTGACTCACAAATATATCCATAGAGACTTATAGACCCACACAGATACCCATATACTAACACAGTGTCCCGTAGATTTACAGATACCCTGCCTCACAGTGACATGCAAAGAGACCCATGGACTTAGACAGAGACTCATAGACGTACAAAAAGACCCATTGGCTCACACTGAGACCCATAGACCCAAACAGATACCAATATACTAATATAGAGACCCATAGACTTACAGAGAGCCATATACTTATACAAATACCAATAGACTCACACAACAGAGGCCCATAGATCACACAGAAACCAATAGAATAACACAGAGACCTTACAGATACTCTAACTCGCATAGAACAATCGACTCACACAGATACCCTCACGCAGACACACATAGACTGATAGACGTACAAAGAGACCCATAGACTTATATAACGACCCATAAACCACACAGACACACAGATAATGATTGGCATGTCTGGCAGCAACACAAAGCTCCTTAAATCTCAGCTCAAACATTCAAAGAGAGCCCCCCAGTGGCACCTGTCCCAGTGTGGCATTAGTCTGCCAGTAGGGGCCATCTCGTTGGATGGTCTAACCTCGGGGCACCCCCAGTGGCAGCTTTCCCTGTGCATTCATCTGCCAGTAGGGGACAGTGCTGATGTGTGGTATAACCTAGGGGCACCCCCAGTGGCAGCTGTCCCTGTGCATTCATCTGCTAGTAGAGAGCAGTGCTGCTGTGTGGTTTAGCCGAGGGGCACCCCACAGTGGCATCTGTCCGTCAATTTATCTGCCAGTAGGGGGCAGTGCTGCTGTGTGGTCTAGCATATGGACACCCCCAGTGGCAGCTATCCCTGTTAATTATTCTGCCAGTAGGGGGCAGTACTGCTGTGTGATGTAGCCTAGGTGCACCCCCAGTGGTAACTGTCTCTGTGAATTTGTCTGTCAGTAGGTGAGGGGGGGGGAGTGTCGATGATTGCTTCTGTGTGTGTAATCGATTTTCAGGCATGGTTACAGTCCCTAGATGCCACGCCGAGCGTCTGTGTGTGTGTACTCGTGTGTGTGTGTTTGTACACACGAGTATTGTATTTGCAGTGTCCACGATGGTGATTGTCTTGACAAATAAAATCCATATCAACGATGCTCGTGTGGCACCCGTGTTTGTCTACCACTAGATTTGTGGCGAAATCCTCATG